TATGCAAAGAAGTCTTCTTAGGCAATCAGTCAAGTCAATACGTAATGAATTTCTAATGTTTCAGAGACTGTCTCTGGCTCCATCATCATGTCAATCCCTGATACCATTAACCCTTACCTTCGATTATATAACGTATATCGACTAATAGTAAATCAGTAACTGGCATGGGTATGAAGGCTTTTGTTAACATGATACTGGAGTGTTTGAATATCAGGCCATAACAAAAAGATTGAAGCAACATATAACTTGCTGTATGTATTTATTCAACACTGTGTGAATGATCTGTCACTTTGTTTTACAATGCTAAGAACTATCAATAGTGATGACTTATCTCTGTACGATGCAGGTCACCTGTAAGCAGTTGTTTGCAAACAATTTCTCCTGACAGTAAGTATTATTGTGGCAGAAATACAGGGCAAATAGAAATTTTATATAATTGGTAAACTAAGCCAACATATGGTGAACCCTAACAATAAGGCATCATTAAAATTATTTGAAAGTCATTATAGCACATGAAGATTTGTAGAATTCTACTAGGATGTAATGCATGTGATTGCTATAAACGTGCCTAAAAACACACCATGCCCATGTAGCTGCTACCCTTTTGTGAAACAATTGATCCCTTCACTTTTTGATACTCACCCTGATGGCATTGTCTTCACTGGCCGAAGGTCCATACAGAAGCAGATCCCCATATTCTCCAATGCACCAAGTGGCAACTTGTGTCAGTGGTTGCCGGTCCATTGTGTCTTGCTCGAGCGCATGCCACAGTTGCTCTACAATGTAGCCCTGCTGTGATGTTGACTCTGAGACCAACTGGATTGTGCATGACACCACATCGTCCCTGACATAGTTACCAGCCTGTACACCGCACAAATAATTAAATTACCTGTTCTGGGGTAACTGTACTCAATAACAGTCATATTCAGATTTTTCCAGTCATATGGATGTAAATATTAAATTTGGAGCATACATTTATGACAGTGCTCTCCGTATACATGGAGCTAGCTAGTAATGATTGTGTCACTGCATTCATGTACTAATAATGCAACTTTTATTGATCAACAGCCACATATTTAAAGCTTCAGCGTCAACCTTCATCAATTTATAAAAGTTCAGAATTCAACTAACCATCTTCAAATGTAAATTATGAAAACAAAATATATACATACATCCATTCTTGAGACATCTTTACATTCAAAACCTTAAGTGGTACCTGCCAATTTTAGGTAGTTCTAAAAGTGAATCTGTAATTTGTTATCATTATCTAACCTCTGGACTCTCTTTCAATGTTGCTTTATTTGACTTCATAACTTGCAACAACATTTCAAAAATCTTTAAATGGTGACAGCCCCAGAAGACCATTTATAATTTCTACAACTTACCGCCACAAGCACTTTGAGTAATGTGTCTAAATGCCAGCGCTTATTTGGAGAAAAGCGCTCTGCTGATAGAACGATGCTGGATGAGCACTGGGCTTTGAACTCAGGGTCAGCTTTATCCAGAAACACTAGCAATTCCTTCATCATTGTCCGGATGTTGTTGGAGTTAACAAGTGCAAAACTTAGCTCGAGAGCTCTCCGTCTAATGGACACATCAGGGTCCTGTAAACAGCAAATCAATGAT